TGCTGCCGGAGGTAGCGCTGTTTAAATCGAGATAAATTGAATGTGATTGTTCTCAACCTGTTGAACAGTTTGCATTAATATAAATATGATGAACTTGTCGAACTTTTAAACAGTTTTTAACCTGAATATATTGGCTATTAAAAGTCAACCAATCAGATGACAAGGATTTTTTCAGGTGTTATATAAAACAAATAATGATTGTTTCACGTTCGTGCAATGGAAAGAATAATTTCATTCGGTGACAGATGAAATGTCCCATTCCACTCGGCTTTGCCTCGTGGAATGGAACATTTCATCTGTCACCTCATGAAATTATTTTTTATTTATTTATTTATTTATTTATTTCATTTTCCGGGATATTACAAAGAGTGAATCATAGACAAAACAATTACATGTACAAATAACACTGAGTAGTAAACATAACAGAAAACATAACAGAAAACAACAGCCAAAAAGCTCCCGCAGGATTACCCAAAAGAAACAAGTTTCTGTCGAGGGGCTCTCCAAACTAATTGGCTAACAGTGATTGATACATTTAGGATAAAATTCATTAAATAAAATATTTATAAAATTAAGCAGTTAAATGCAAAATATAATTAAAAATACAATTAAAAATTACAATAAGATTTTTACCATTGCACTCACAAACATTCATTATTTGTATATACTGTACATGTACAATGTATGTATCTTGATACAAATCACCCTCATGGAATCCATGAGCAAATACATACATAGTACCAATAGACAAACAAGGAGATATGGCTACCTGCTTACATTTTTATTTTTCACTGATGTATTTGTGCTAAGTGTCTACATGTATATATTGTACAAACTTGCATGTATTTTGCCATTTGTGCAAATGAAGACTAACACGGTATGTGGAGTGGGTGCAGTTTGGATTCATGTCATTCCACAGAATTTGCCCTTTTACACATGTACAATAAAGTCAATGTATGGGAATAACAAATTATGAAGAGCTCATTTTGAAACCAGACTTTTTGTGCATGTTAGGCATCTCTCAAAAGTAGCTATGGTGTTACATCTACAATCTACATGAAGATTAGATGCATTGTTATTGGCAGACTCTTATCGTCTGTTATACTTGCATCTTATTTGTTGGTACATGTATGGTGAAGCAAAAGTTCATTTTAAAAATTCCATTTTTACCCCTCAGCCGAGAGGCTCGAGGGGTATTGTCATCGCCTACGGCGTCCATTTTTATGTCTGTATGTCGTATGTAGTTCCCGGATGATAACTTCAGTTAGAAATGTTGTTTGGGATTGTAACTTTGGAAGGGGGTTGCCCTTAGGAGTAGGCAAGTTGGGATAGGTTTTGAGGTCAAAAGGTCAAAGGTCAAGGTCACCATGTTGAGTTAAATGTTAATGGTTTCCGGATGATAACTTGACTCTGGCTGAGGGGTTTCAACAGCAACGCTGTTATTATATTTTTAGCTAATATAAACATGTCTTGTTCATTTAGAACTTGCTTGAGATAAACTTTCACCAAGTACAGAAAAACATTTCTGTAGCAATTTTTAATATTTGTTGAGCTTTGTATCAAGGGCAATTCCATGAAACTTGGCTGAAAATGAAAAAATTAATGAACTCTTCAAAATAACAAGCTTCACAGCCTCAGATGTGGTATCAAATTAATGGGACAAGATCTTTCATTTGAATAATGTGCCAATGAGATGGATGGTCAAGTGGGGTTTTTTTAGGGGGGGGGGTAAAAAACCTGGTATTTTACCTAAGTTTTTTTTTTAATTTTAGGTACTCATTTTGGCACCTTGTGTTAAATGCAAGTCTTATCGTGTGTTTTTGTTTTAAATTAAGAGAAAAGGTTTCATGGCTATTTTCAAGGGTATTGTCAAAAGAGTTTGTTGTTTGATAGTTTCTTAAATGTTGAAACTTGTACCAAAGATGGATGAACAAACTGTAACGTGAGTTACCGTAATGGATCCCTCTACAGATTTCATGAATAATTTTTTTAAATAATAGTAATGATAGAATATGACTTATTACCTAATGGAAAACTTTCAAATGAAAGGCATTTAATTTTTTTCTTTGTCCTTTTTGTGTAATGTGAGTCCCAGATAAAAAGTTATTCCCAGACCAACAGAATTGTATGATAAAAATATTGCCCTTTTTTGTGGGTTTAATCATTTAATTTCAAATGACTTGTGAAAAAAAAATCCACCCTAAATGCTTTGACTTTTTAGAATAACAGCACAAACATGTAGTTGAGCGAAGAGTACCCTCTCCAAATGTAGCATGAGTTGCCATGGAATTGCCCTCAAATGCTTTTTAGGAGGAGTACCACCCTAACAGTCCTGTATCCTACAATTGTAATATGATTTATCAAGGTAATTGATGTAAAGTGTCCGTACGTTAAAGGGCTGAGGTACACAGTGTTTGGAATGGACATACCTGGTACATGTAGATAGTACACGTACACTGCACATTATGTATTCCATAGGAAAGGAAACTGTCCATTGACTGGAATAGCTTGGCAACAGCTTCCTGCTTGGCTGCTACAAAGCACTTGGTCTATAGTACTTCCTGTATTGCTTACATTCTGTATAGCAATCAATCGCAGTTGCTTCTTCCTCTACCTATTAAATATGAATGCAATTTCATTGCATTATGAAATATCTACACAATAGTAGACTCCTTGGCCAGTGCATGCAGTTGCAATTACATATTTTTTATATGTAAGCCGTTTAGTTTTGATGTTTACATAAATTTGTTAACATTTTCATATTCCGAGTTATGTGTTAATCAATCAATATTCATGGCTTGGTTTTTTGTATTTTCTGAGGGTTATTACAATTTGATTTTGAAATTTCAAAATGAATTACCGTACATGTATCTTAATTTTGCACAAATTACCGGTACATTCTCATCAGTAGATTTAAGTTGATTCAAAGCTTAATTACTGTTAATTACAATGCATTTCTTGACTTGCTTTTCAATTAACCAAAAACCAACCGCGTTCATGTAGAACAGCAGATGTGTGAATAAATTGTGCATTTGATGATAAAAGCGTGAAATGTGGCACATTGTTAGAAAGTACATGTACATTACCTTCAATAGGATTTTTGGCTATGGGGCTATCTCAGATTTGCCCTTTGGTACATGTACATCAAGTCCATTATAGTGGGAGGACAATGTGGTAGATGTACATGTACCATACCTATACATTTACCTACACTGTACATTGGCAGGTAATGCAAAATATCAATTTCAGTTAGTAAATGTCATGGTTACCATAGCAACTGATATAAAAAAGTAATTAACCTTGGCATCCAAAATCACCGCTAGAGGGCGCTATATTAATTTGAGGGAAAAAAATTTTTTTTGAGTTGTTCCAAAATTTGAATCTTTTCAACCAAAATCAGCACAGATACCGGTAGAGAACAAATGGTAATGTTATCAAATACTTTCAAATTTATAGATGCTTTGCATTTTTCATGCAAGTAATGTACAAAAAGTATCCAAAACTAAACAAAATTGTGCAAATTAATGTACATGTACCGGGGTAAGCAGCTTTTGGTGCAGATTGCAGCAATATTGGACTTCAAGCATTCATTGTAGTTGGTCATGTGACCATGAATTTTAGTCTAATGTGGATACTTGATGGGGATACAATGTAGGTTCGGGCAAAGAAAATATGGTTTTGACTCACTAAAATACATCTTATACATAACGAACAAACTTTATTATTTGTTGTGTTTGTTATTTTGTTATTATTTGTTGTATTTGCTGTGTTTATCGGGCCATTATCGGTGACCAGCCCTCTACCCGGTCTACCACTGTTATTCCCATTAAAAAAATACCTTTTTGGTCAAAAACTTCGAAGAAGAAAAAAAGCAAAATTCTTACCATCTTTTGTTCAAGAATTTTACCTTAAATTGCTACATTGTATCCATGTTCATGGCCCATTTCTATGAATTGAGCGTGTGATTGCTGTTCCAGCAACGAGCCCCCAAAGTTTCCCAAAAAATATAAAAAACTTATGTACAAAATGACCAAAAATTGATCAAATACAATGCTGTCGTCAGTAAATGCACTCTTGGCGAAAGTTTTCGGAACACGCCCCTTTGTCTCGATTGATGTGCATGCGCATCTATTTTGCATATGAATTGAGACATTCAGGAACTGGGCCAGAGCTTATGGTGCACTCGCGCTTGTTCACATACATGTATCTGCAGTACTAAGGGTCCTAAGGTAAGCCTCAAACACCATGATGTGGCTTCAAAAATTATTGAACCAACCATGAATTATACCCCCCTCCCCCACCATAATTTTGCAATAATGTTACCCTGGTCTGGAATGACAAATAAAAAGTGCATAATTTACATCCTACATAATGAACTTTTCTTTCAGTACGGGGACTGAAAGATTAAGACATTAAAGAGAGTAGTACATTTACCCATTTTTGTGGAAGGAATCCAACCAGTGGATGGCCGCACCACAATGTAGCATGCCAGCTGTTTGATGACAACATTCCTGCGTCCAATATTTGGATGCATGATGTGCTGAGGAAATTGAACATTTTAACAAGTTTTTCTTTCTCTCAAATTTGAAATTTGCAAACTTCACTGAGATCAACATTGATTTTATTGTATGTCATACATGTACATTATGATTAAGTTCAGAGTATTTGTGCAAGAGCAAAGTGCGCTAACAGAAAGCATTATGTAAGCGCTGGGTCAAATAGGTGGGAATTTAATTTAAGTTTAACTGTTCAGACATCACTCAGTCTCAGGAGAACAAAATGTGTGAACTAAACCCTTCCTTTGTTGTGTTTGAACTTACTGCTTCAGCGGCAAGTTGAACTTGATTCAGTGTACCCTTCAAACTGTTCAGACACCAATTTAATAAAATGGTCTCTGAACTCCCTCATGGTTAGCACAACTTTATGAGTAAAATTTACATCCAAGGCTGTTAAATTACACATTTTGTTATACTCTTTAATCCAATATTGTTCTCACGCAGGTAAATCCAAGGACCCGTACTCAATGCCATACCCATCTATGTCCAGAGAATCTAACCTTACACCTAATGCACATGTAGCGGTAAGTCAGTTGGTTCTTGTTTTTAAGATGTACATGTAGTATAAGACAATACAAGTCTTGTGTTCATTGTGTGAAGGGGTCAGGTATCATACTGCACATTTGTATATCCACATGCCATGCAACAATGAGCAAGCAAGGATCAGTAAGTGGATTTCATTAATAAATAACAAATAATAATAATACAGAACATAGCGCTCTAACTGTCAAAGAAAGTACCACAGCACTTTACACAAAGTGGACGAAAAACCAAAACCAAAAATAATCTATATAATTAATAGAGAACAGTTCTTGAATACATTCTGATATGTTGTAAAATGATACAGTTTTTTGTTTTAATCAGTGATACATTTTCCACCAAAAGATCAGAGAGGGTGACAATGAAAAATACAAAATTATCGCACTTTCCTTTCATTTGAAACGTGGAGAAATACGTCATGTACTAAGTGTTTGCCAAGCATACAGGCAGTTATTGGGCCAATGGGCTTTGAGGTTTTCTTTGAAAAAGAATGTTTAGATACACATGTAGACAGAGCCTAATATGTACCGGTATGTTCAATGTAGAGTCATGGACCATATTCATAGCAGAAATTAACACACACAACAAATTTGGTTACAATTGAAAGGGTCCATGAAGTGAATTTTTCTTAGGAACATATTTTAAGCAACTGTCCACTCCTCTTAAATGTATGAATAATATTGACATCCATTGTTAATTTTATGGAAAAGTGCACTTCTTTAAACATTTACACATGTAAAATCTTCCATGCTTTTCCAGACAACTGAGGGTGCTGTTGTTGTAATGTCATTTCAGGAAGACACTGTTCAGTTTAGGGGTTTGCTGTTCATTTGTTCATTTGCTTATTGAAAATATTTGTGAGAAAAGTTTGCTCATTGGCTTACTGCCATGTATTGACACAACACGAATCACAAAGGAAAAGAAAACTTACGACATCCAAATATCCAAAATTCTGGCAACGTTTGGTGCTGAAATACCGGTAGCTGTAACATGGAGGTTTCTGCCTGAAAATCACACTTTTGCTCAAAAAGGCACAAAAATACCCTTGAAAATGGCCAAATGAAAATTGAAAAAAAGGTTAAATGGGACAAAAAGGTGAATCTCCAACAATTGCATTTAAAAAAATGACATTGCATGGGCCATGGCATATTTGTATTTGTATCTCTGTACTATGTACCTGGAATTTCTTCTGCATGTATGTTGGATCAGGAATTTGAAAGGGCAAAGATATTTTGATGTACATGTACATGTAGATATGATGTTGGATAATGGCCCAGTATTAAGCTTGATCAAAAATAAATGAGGCAAGGAACTTTTGATTTGGAATAATGAATGAATTTAATAAGCAGAGATGCCACTTTTCTGGTTTTAACAGGAATTCCGGTTTTTAAAAAAAATCTCACAAAATTCCGGTTTTTCCGGCCGTCAAATTAACCAGAAAAAAGAGAAGAAAAACTGTGGAAATGCGTTGATTTTTTACCTCGATTTAGTACATTTAGGCGCACGCATGGCACAACATTGTTTATTGAGGTAGTCTTAAAAACAGTCTTTGTGTATGTTGTTGCCGAGCCTGCATGCGATACAAGCGGCCAACGTACTTGCACGCAGTATACAATGGCGCCTCGCGCGTGCTTCTCCGCGTGCGGGCGTGTTGTGTGCTAAGCTAAGCACACGTAGCATTCAGCCTGGAAATCAAGTCTATCATTTCAGCTATCGGTGGTTTCCGATCGCAGTGATACATGTGAATACAAAAAATGCGGGTACCAACCATGTTTTCGTTGAGCGCATCGCGTATTGCAAGGATCATGTACACCGACAGCAGTGTTGTGGAATCATGCACGTTTCGTGTCGAATATTACGTTGGAAATTCGGGTAGGCACAATAAATATTAGGAATATGGAAAAAGTCAAAGTGATTGAACGAACCGACAGCTTTAAAGGCCATAGAAGCAAAATTAAAAAATAAACAGAACTTAGCTTGGCTACAAGATAAAGATGACAATGGGGACTTTGTGTCGGACACAAAGTGGCTTTTTCACACACTTTTTTCAAGCAGCCGTTCCGTTTTTTTCAAGCAGACCCAGTTCCGTTTTTTTTCAAGCAGACCCTGTGGCATCTCTGAATAAGTTAGTTCAAACATTATCTGAATGACAATCAGTTGCAATATTTTCCTTCACATGGCTTAGTTTTAATAGCAAGAGATTTCAAAATCCAGTTATCCAATTTCTGTGTCGCCGTAACGAAGTTTTGGGAGACACTTACCAGTCCTAAATTCTGTACAACCGTACGACCGTAGACCCGCAGGTTACATGTACGTCTGTCCATCCGTCAGGGCAGCTTACATGTAGTTTCCGGATGATAACTTGAGTTAGAAAATGTTGTTTGGGATTGTAACTTCGGTAGGGGGTTGCCCTTGTGATTAGCAAGTTGGGATTGGTTTGGGGGTCAAAGGTCAAGGTCACCATGGTGAGTTAATGGTTAACGGTTTCTGGATGATAACTTGAGTTGGAAATGAGATTTTGGTGTCTAACTTCGTAGGGGGTTTGCCCTTGAGTAGGCAAGTTGGGATTGGTTTTGGGGTCAAAAGGTCAAAGGTCAAGGTCACAGTGGTGAGTTAAAGGTTAATGGTTTCCGGATGATAACTTGACTCCGACTGAGGACTTTTAGAATAACAGTTATCCGATTTCACTGGAAGCTCACATGAAGCTGAGCCTGGCAGTCATGCAAACAGTGACCAGTGAGGCACTTAAAAGTCATCCTCCAGTTAGATTCTCACTATCAAGACAATCACAACGAAAACATTTAACTGATAATTTATTCCTCGATTTATTTGTTGTTTTCTGTTTTCTGTAAACATTTGATAGGCGCATTACATGTAGAGCATAATATGAAATCAATGGGGAGCTTGTAAAGTTTAGAACTGTAAATTTATGATTTAATCATTCAAAAAAATAATATGAGGGCAACGACAACCGGTATATAGCCCAAAAAAATGTCTTCGGTTTCTGGTATGGAGCTTGCCCCAAAAGTGGTGCGTTGACGCGGGGTTTTTTTTCCCCCTACTTTTTTTTCTTTAAATGTCAGCTGATATTGCAGCTGACGCTTCGACCCCCTCAAAACTTTCAAAAATACCCTTCAGAGTGGAGCTTGAGGTGACCTCAGTAAGGCCATAAGGCTTTAGAATTCTGCACCCACTTATGATCTCGATTGACACGAACAACATTCTTCGGGAAATTTGGATAGTCAATACCAAAATCAGAGAAACGTAAATGTCAGACCATACAGCGACATCGACAGTGCACATGGCTATGGCGATTCGTGCGCAGACCAGAAACCGGAGACTTTTTTGTCAATTATTTGCTATATATTGAAGGTTAAGATGTGACAATTACATATTTGATGCAAGGTTTAGTATAAGAGAGGAATAAAAAAAATGGGGGGGGATTTCTATCAAATATATTCCCAGTCAGAAACAAATCCTCATGATGATTTTTAGTGACTCAAAAAAGTTAAACAATGTTATTTAAAACTTCTCATACAGGAACATGTAGGTAAGGCCATTGGTGGAATTCTTTTGAACAGCCACATTATTTGGACATGAGTTGAACTAATGAAAATAGAGAATTTGTGACAAAGAACTACATGATTGGACTCTATTTTCTTTCAGGGGGGGGGGGGAGTTCAATATGTATGATTGTTTCACTGGAATGTATATTGGGTGGCACTGCTGCAGGATTGAGGACTAAATTGCATGCAGACAAGGAGCTGTCATGATGAATATCTGGGCAGGAACTATCCATCAGTGTGGCAGTGCCCTGCACAATGATTGGATAACATGCTGGATTCGTAATGACTGGGTGTGGTGAGCTGTCATTATGACAAAATGGGTTGGAACTCTCTGATCAGTCATTGTGTGCTATTCATGCACTTGTGGTGAATTGGGTGAGAAACCATTTTCTTGCACTTTGTGTCACAAGAAGGTTTAAATCTAACTTTAGTAGACACCGGTATGTGACCATACTTGCTGTGGACTTGAACACATGTACCGTACCAGAAAGTTGCTGCGATTATGCTACATGGGGTACAGTGAAAACAAGTACATATTTTGATGAGAAAAGGATCAGTAGGTATTTCCCTTGGTTTGTATAGAGGCATGACACACGCACATGTAGGTCAACAGCAGCTGGTTCAGACACCTGCTTGACTGGTAATCTCCTTTGACTTGTAATCTCCATGCATGTTATGTACATGTACACATGTACGTACTTGCACATGGACATACACATGTACCATATTTCCAGTACATGTATAAAACTGGTTTGTGTATCATAACCCCATCAGCTGATCTATGCTCCAGCTGGTTTCTACACAAGAGTTATGCACGTACAGACATTTGTGCATTTGTACAAAGAGTGAAACTGTTGTTGGCTTTTCAGCATAGTTGGGGTCCGATTGGGTTGAAATGTTGTACATACATGTACATAATCAGGGACGTGTTATTGATAAAAAAAAAAAAGCATATTGCAGAAAAGCCCTATGTTCTGTTCATTAAACGGACGTAGACTTCTAGTTTTCATTGCAAATGTTTAATTCTAGAAAACCTACAATTAATTTAGATGTTATGAAAAGGGAAATTGTTTCAATAACTGTGTACATTTTCTATTTTCATGTCACATGCTAAAGTTTACAATGCATGTCTTTGTTAAAGCATGTTTGAGTTGCTTAAACCTTCTGCATGTACTTGCATGTAGTAGCTAAACTCTGTCTTCACCAATGTACATTCACAGTACTTCACTTTTTATTTATAATCAAGGTTACTTAGGCCCCCCCCAAAAAAAAAATACTTCTGCTTCCGGTTTCCCTACCTACCCTATTCTGACAGCCCCACCCTAATTTTTTCATTGGAAAAATGAGGAAAAAAAACACCCAAAACCATCACTTTATACCTTTTACCTTTGTTTACACGTAGACGCCTCCGTATGGTC